TCTAAAGCACAGCTGCAGGATTAGCCCTGTTCTACCACAAAGCAATGCACTGAATTCAATATATGTGACAAACTGGACAGATTCAATGTGCTTTTGGCAACACTGACATCAGGAAGGGTGGGAAAGCCAACTTCTGGCTATCTTATCTTCCCCAAAGCCCAGTATTCCCTTCCCTCCAGGGATGCATTCATAGAGAGTCTCTACTAAAAGTACACATCTACATGTATTACCTTGATGATTAATAGTAGGAATGTCCAAGTGTGTAAAAAACCCAGACCAAGCATTCTAAGAAAACTCCAAAGATTTACTGCATTTGCAAACGGACCAGATATATCTCAAGATGTACTTCTATAATTCACCTACTGAAAATAACTTCAGCCTGCTGCATGTGTCAGATGCTTTTTCCCTGTGGCTCTCCAGTTTTGCAATCCGAGATCCGAACTGTACGGCCCTTTTTGGCAGAACAGTGGAGGCTGTGAGGCCCAACTCCTTGGCTGCAAGGCGCAGGATCAGTTTCTCACCCATTCCTCGAGGGAGAGTCAAGTCAGCTTTTTCTGAGACAGGCAGAGAATTGAGGAATGAAACAACATCTTCATCAAGAAAAGGAAACCTGAAAGAAAGGTACACGTGGGGAAAGACCCTTTAAAAATTTCATACGAATGGTTTTGGTTTTCCCCTTTACCACATGCAAAGATTTCAGAGTCTGTATCAATTCCTAATCATAGATGCACCTTAAATCTTAGTGTCACAATATTGAGACAGTTCTCCAAAGCAGTTACACTGTCCTGGGGAAAGAAACCCCATAATGTTTACACTCAGAAGCCTGGAAGTTTTCAAAAGTCAAGCAAAGAGAACAGTAAAAACAAGGATCAGAAATGGTGGGTTTACACAGAAGAAAAATTACAAAAACCATCAGAAACTACAACGGAAGAGCAATACAAATCTTTAAGTAACACTTCTCAAGGTAACTCCTAAGTATTTAAAAATACTTTGTGAAGCTACACTGTAACTTCGAAACAAATATATTTAAACAACAAATTCTGACCATTCTGAATTCCAAGCATTCATACCTAATCCTATGCATGATTAACAGCATTGCCTGTCCACCACTGCAACTGCTCTTGTGCCACACTGAAAATGTGCAACTAAGAACAGATTTGGAAAAACACTGGCACTAAGATCACAGGAGAAACCCTTTCATGCACCTGAGTGGCCTCTGCTACTTGACAACAACTAAGGAATTTTTTGCAAGTTGGTGGTAGCATGGAGGAAGTAAACACAAATAAAAGGATTTTCTAACTATTCGGACTTAACACCAGGAAACGCAGTGGATATTGTCATGGAGTTACTGCATGGACAAGAATACACAGCTTTTACATTATGTTGTCATTCTCCTCTCATAACCCTAACCCTAACCCAAAGTCAATCACCAGATGACCACACCAGAACACCTCAAAGTTGTGCACAAGACTGTTCCACTTAAAATGATAAAATGTACTTGATTTTTCCTATTTCATCTGTTGCTGCTTCTTAAAACCTCTAGATGGAAGTCAAGTTACTAAATTTCCTAAAGGAACTCTTCCACAGTACTACAGACTAGTTTTTAAAAAACAAAACCAAAAAACTCCACAACACAATACATGTTAACAAAATTGCAACAGAACTAGAGAACAAAACACCCAGAAGTTTCAATTAAGCTTTTTGTTGGAGTGTTAAAAACTGCATCTAACCTGCAAAACCAGTTTTGCTTCATGTTAAAACAATAATACCTGGCTTCTTTTCCGTGATCACCGATAATCCTGTCATCTCTACCCAGATTTCTGGAAGAAATGCGACCTAACTCCATTTCAAGTTCTTTGTTCAGACCCTCTAAGCCATATTTTTTGAAGCAAACACGATGTCGAGAATACCCAGCAAGCTGTTCATCCGCTCCAATTCCGGTAAGCACAACCTAAGGAAACAAAATACAACAAATCTTGGTATCCGTGTGAGTTAATATGTAACAGATCTTAAATGTTTAACTACCCCTTTAGGATATTAATTTTAACACACATCCTATAAAGGTGTTACTTAACACAATGGGATCTGCATTCCACATTTACTAAGTCTGAAACAGTTTCCAATAAAGTCACTGGAAACTTGCAATAGGCTCACAATCAGACTTAAAAGTACACACAAACGTTTCTACTGATGCAAGGAAAAAACATCAAAATAATGTCCTATGCACCCCAAATACACTGGTATCTTTGAAGAATGTCTTTGTTAGTGTCTATTAGAATAAACAGCATTCGTTAAACACCAGCCTTTGTAAAAAAAATTTGTTTCCAAAGATTATGTCGTATATTCTAAATAGTTATCTGAATGTACATCCAGATTAATTTACCAGCTACTGGGTTAGTACAATGCATTACACAAAATTAAAATGGCTCATAATGTTCTGTCTGCAGTAAGTCCAGAAACAACTGCTACATCTGGCCCTCTGCTGTGCCTTCAACAGCAATTCACTATAAAAGTGGAAGTCTTTTAACAAACAGTCAAGTGTGTTTTACTAATCTGATACCAGTCAGTGCCCAACTAATTTTTAGCCAACACAGCAGTACGTAGCTGATGTGAAAATGACACTTTTGCTTTATGTCTTATTAAGTCATGGCCCATTTCAACATATTCTGGGCCTAAGATGAATTTGTATGTTTTGCAAATCTGAGATGCAGATCCTTAATTAGATCTGCCAACTATATCAACTGTGTCCTACAGTAGTGGTTTTTAAGCAAACTATTGCATTTGTTGGGGTTTCTGTTGTTGGTGGATTTCTTATGATTTTAGGATCTAGCAATTATTAGAAAAGTAACAGGAGCCCCAAAAAGCAAAGGTGGCAGTTGGCTTGTAAATTCCTGAAATTAAACCGTTCATTCTTCCTTATGAAAACCATCAGAAATAGGGAAGTGAGAAATCAGAATCAAATTCCCAAGAAAATCACCTAGTTACTAAAAATATTTTACTTAATACTACATACATGAAGATAAGTTACAAAAAGGAAAGAGCTAAGTTTTGTATTTCTGTCAGACTCTAATTACAAAAGATGCCAAGATCTTTTCTGCCTGTGCTATTTGCTATTTGTTACATCAAGAGCATCCTAAGTAAGATATTTTGACAAGTGGTGGGATGCTGGCACAAAACAATATTACTTAATAACTCACTAACATTTATCACTAAATTTGTTAACACAGTTTGGACTGAATAGCTGTTACCCACTATTGGAACTGAAACACTGAAAATTACAGATGATGGTTATTATTTTTTTCCTAGTCATGTTGTTGCTTATCCAAGTTCACTGGAAAGCCCTACACGTTACATGACAAAAGAACTGAATGCGATTTTTAACTCTAGAATTACAAAAATATTATAATTACAGAACTGTTCTACAGTCTGTCACTGAATTTCAGAAACCTTATGAATAGCAAAGATCCCACCTGATTTCTGAATCAACAGAACTGGTTTTACATTCATAAGTTTTATAAATATATGTTTTACAAACATAAGGCAGAAAATAAACAAACAAAAAAAATCAGTACCTTTGCAGAACTTTTATATGGTTTCAGTTCTCCTGGGTTACTAATAAAACCCTCCCCTCTGGAAGCAAACCACATTGCACAGCCAATGCTGTCATCCAAGACTGTGTCCAGTGGATAGATTAGGTGATTAATGCGCTGTTCCCTCATCTTTTTCAATTCCTCTAGTGTAACATTAATTTCCACAAAGTTCCAGGTTCTTGAAGGGTTAATGGCTTCTAATTCCTTCAGTCCTGCCCTACCAGTGATTCTGTCAGGAACATCAAAGCAAGATGAATGAGCACCACTTTTAGCATCAATATCTTGGCAGGTTTCTTGAGGAGAAAGCAAATCAAGCTGCACTTCATGGCTGGTATGTCTTTGAGAGGTACCCTTGTGCTTAGCTTGTTCTTTCATCATGAAAGCTACATTGAGAAGATCAATTGGCTCCTCCAAAGGCACGTGTTTATCAGCAAGGGCTGCAATAACCATAGAATCAATGCCACCAGAAAAGAGCACTGCAACATGTGCTTTCTTACGAGACATGCTTGGAACTTCTCTGATTTCCTGATCTTGGTCTCTGAAGAGACATAAAACTCGTCTCTTGACTGCTTCACTTAAAACATCAATAAACTGACACACTAATTTTTTCTTGTGTTCCTCTGCGAGAAATCCTTGGAGGGTTTCTACAGAAACCCCATGGATAATGTTGCTACTATTAGTGCCTGCACATTCACCTGAAGCTTCAGCAATTGCTGTATTTAAGGGGATAACTGGTGCTCTGAGGCATAGCTTTGATTCATTCACCCCAAGATGTATGTGGCTTGGTAAATCTTTTGACACTTGATCAAGAACATTAATGAATGTTTCTTCTGCTGCTTTCTCCGTGTAGCAGTACTTCCATGGAAATAATGTTAAAGACAACGATTTAGTCGTTGCACAAGCTTTGAGATCAATTTTGAAAATTCCGGATGCTGGGACTTCTTGCCATTGGTTGCTTAGTTCAGAATAACCACTTACAGATGTGAGACAGAAAGCACTGTCAGCCTCATGACTGAACTGCCAAAGCAAACTACGACGGCCAAAATAATCTCTACCAAACCACAAACTGTGTCTAGATGCTTGGTAATAAATGAAAGACCAGGGACCCCTCAGTGATGAAAAGAGTGACAGAATGTCCTCTTCACTCCTGCATAATGTAAGATGATGAAACATTACTTGAGTGTCATTCTCCAGATCTCCTACATGCACTCCATTGAAAACTTCTCCATTCCAAAGGAAAACATTGTTATTGGCATCTTCTAGAGGCTGAAGAGTCACCAGTCCCCTCAAGTGAAGTACATGGCCAGAAAACAGACATTTGTAGGAGAGATCTGACACAGTTTTTATCAACTGTTGGCTACTGTCTGGTCCTCTTCTTCCAAGACGGTGGAGTGTGTCTTCGCTAAGGAAATCAGGAATAGAATGTTGGCCACGCAAAGTAACAACACAACAAATACCACACATTATGACACTGAATTCACAGGAACTATTTCTTCATTTTAGCTTTTTCTGCATTTTCCATCTCCTGGTGTGCCTTCTTTAATTCATCTAATGTATCTGTGTAAGAGAGTATTATACAAATAGTCAATTTCATAAACAGAAAAGTTTATATCTAAGAAATAAGTCATTCCAGCCACTTGTTCAATGAGATACTAATTAACCAAAGTGCTATGTTTGTATTCTATGGAGCCCCTGGTGGTCTAGTGGTAAGGGCGTTGCGCTGTCACTGCGGAGACCTGGGTTCGATTCCCGGTCAGGGCCACTCCCGGGCTGATGGAGCTCGTTAACCCTTTAAAAGGCAATCCATCTACGTCCTAAGGACCTCGCTGCCACCGTCCAAGCTCGCTTGGCCCCGGCAGATGAACCTTAGGATTAAAGGGTGGCCTCAGTTCCGCGCACACTGTGTCTCACCTAAAAAATCCAATGCGCAGGCTGGAAGGTGTAAAGACCTTCCCCGGATCTTCGCTCGAGAAGACTGGCCATTAAATGTTTGTATTCTGTAATTACTATAGCTCACTGTAGCTTATTCCTCTTTATTACACAAAGATTATAATTTTTTTTCTCCCAAAGAAAACCACATTACTATAGGCCAACTATTGCCTATACAATCAGTATGACTTATATATTTGTAGTAAGAAAAGGGGATTGTTGATTAAAATGTCAACACTATTAACCCAAATCAAAGAAAGTTGCAATTTTTCAATCCAGAAAATAAAATGTATACTTCTAAGTTTGCAAATTTCTAATGTTTCTTTCACCATCACCTTTATTATCCATTCTCCTATCTTCATAATCCCACAGACCCATTCTTTCAACTAAAGATTTCTAGCTTAATCTCCAATTTTAACTTGTTATTTTCCTTCTCCTCCTATCCTGTGCAATTTTTAATTTTTTTTAAGGGACACAGTGCTATACAGCTGCCCAAAGGGCGCTGATAATAATGACTCCTCTGTGGAGCAGATGTTCTCCCTCTTTATCTTCAGCACTTGCTCTTTTATCACATCCATAAACCAAGTGAAAACATTTTGACATTTATCCATTCCAGAAAAACAAGCAGGTGTCTGAAGTTTATTTTGTATTTGACATCTAGCTGTCAGTTTTGCATTTTAATACACAGCTTTTAAATAGGCAAGCATTTGATTTACACTGTAAACTTACTTTTGCATTGAGACAGCGTTTCTGTTCGGTCCACAAGGAAGAATATGTTGCTATTGGGTTGCTGCTTATAAACCTTCTGCAAAACAAAAACCAGGCTGTATTAAGTCACAACAACAGACTCTGAACCACACTGCAGCAGAAGCTGCTGTGGGTCTATCAAGACTTCACTTTAATGCCAGAAGGACAAGTTTTGCCCTAACAACACCAACATTCTAATGTTGTATCATCAGAAACATTTAATGATCAACCCATGACTATTCTGCATTTCTCTTTTCTAATTTAAACACATGCACAAAAAAAGTAAGAATACCTCATAAAGTCTTCTGATAAACTCAAACATCTCACTGAAATAACTCAGATAAAGCATAAAAAGGCAAAAGACCCACACAGCATGCTGTGTTAACACTGCACAAGGGTACATAATCACATCATTTGCAGGACAAGTTATTCTGAGAACAGCAGACCACATGTGTATTAAAATCTGTATTAAAACAAATTCGCGGAGACCCGGGTTCGATTCCCGGTCAGGGCCACTCCCGGGCAGGTGGGGCTCGTTAGCCCTTAAAGGCAACCCATCTACGTCCTAAGGACCTCGCTGCCACCGTCCAAGCTCGCTTGGCCCCGGCAGATGAACCTTAGGATTAAAGGGTGGGCTCAGTTCCGCGCACACTGTGTCTCACCTAAAAAATCCAATGCGCAGGCTGGAAGGTGTAAAGACCTTCCCCGGATCTTCGCTCGCGAAGACTGGCCATTATTATTATTATTAAAACAAATTAAAGACAGCATGCTCTGATTTTGTTTCCCCTCTTGTCTCTGTGCTTATTTCTCCTCTAAAATGAAATAGTCAAAAGCAAACTTGTGAATACTTACCCTGTTCTTCTTCAAATTAGAAAGCTCATCTACTACAACCTTCTGCTCTTTAATCTGAAAGGTGAAAGATGCACTTTAATTATTAAAAATGAACTACCATGTTATAATCCTAGTGGTGAACATTCTTACTGGTATTTTGAGGCAGCTACATGCATATATAGCTGCTGTTCTCCAAATGAACCACTGAAGACAGAGTAAATATAAAAATTAAATACTTAAAGTAACCGCTCTAGAAACAGGTTATCTTGCATGCATTGGTATTTCTCCTCCCCCCAAAAGCCATCATCACTGGGAAGCCAGAGTACCTCTAGCATATTTTTCTCCCCCAGAAGAAAAGAATACATATACACAACTAATACAACATCAAATAATTTCAGAAAACAAATTTAGCATAATATCAAGAATACACTTTATAATCACAGGTATGCTCCAGATTCAAAATTTAATTAATGAAAATCCAAATACACTAAAACTGTATTAAGAGCCTTTCTACTGCTCTGGATTTTTGCATTAATCCCACTTCCTTAGTGCTGCACTGACAGAGGTGGCAGGTTTTCCCATTTTCTTTTACGACAGCTCTGAATGGTAAAAAGCAATAAGAAGGACTGTCATAAAAGCCTAAAACTGGAACAAAATCTGGTCAGAGGACACAATGTTTTTGTTAGAACCAAACAATATGGTTTGGTTTGTTTTTTTCCTTTGTGTCTCCTGGAATTGGTGCCACAGTGGGAAGCTGCTGCAGAGGGAGGTTAGCCAAACTGAATGTGGCACACTGAAAGTACAACTTCTCCAGCAGCTACATCAGTGTCTTTATATCTACAATACCAACAGGCAAAACAGCACTGCCATCTTTAGCTAAGGACTAAACCATCAACCTGCAGCTCTGTTATGTCCCAGCTTTGCAGCTTCCCAGGCAATCAAAACCACCACTGGCTCTATACATCATGACCATACAGAAGTCATTTTTTCACAGAATCATAGAATGTTAAGAGGTTGGAATGGACATTAAAGACCTCCTACTGGCAGGGACACTAGGCCAGGTTGCTCAGAGCCCTATCCAACAATGGTTTTGAACACTACCAGGGTTGTGGCATCTACAACCTCCGTGGGCAGCCTGTGCCAGTGTCTCACCACCTTCACAGTAAAGAATTTCTTCCTAATATCTAACCTAGAGTTTCCCTCTTTCCATTTGTATCCATTACTTCTTGTCCTATCACTACAGTTCCCGATGATGAGTCCCCTCTGGCTTCCCTGTAGGCCCCTTCGGATACTGGAAGGTTGCAATGAGTTTTTTAGTTCCACGGGGGCTTGATAGATTCCATATTGGGCACCAGGGAAGAGGGATTGAATTCATGAGGAGCACCAACCTCTGTGTCTGGAATCCCTTGGGACTTTTTGGACAGATAAGGATGAAGCTGGGACTAGAGAGAAGCCATATAAGGTATGAGAAGCAGCTGAAGGCACTTGGTCTGTTCAGCCTGAAGGAGACAGAGGGAAGACCTCACTGCAGTTACAACTTTCTCGGGAGGGGAAGAGGAGGGGCAGACCCTGATCTCTGAGGTGACCAGTAACAGGACCCGAGAGCATGGCCTGAAGTTGTGTCAGGGGAGATTTAGATTGGTATTAGAAAGAGGTTCTTCCCCTAGAGGGTGGCTGGGCACTGAACAGGCCCCCAGGGCAGTGGTCACAGCACGAAGCCTGACAGAGCTCAGGAAGTGTTTGGATGATATTCTCGGGCACATGGTGTGACTCTCGGGGATGGTCCTGTGCAGGGCCAGGAGCTGGACTCTGATGATCTTTGTGGGACCCCTCCAACACCCGAGATTCTGTGATTCTATGAGAAAACCCTAGCTGCGCCTCACCTGACACTTCAATTTCAGCTCGGAGCAATGAGACCCAAAGTGACAACCTGAGAAGCTTCCAGCGAGGCGACAAGGGCTGGTTACCCGCGGGGCGCTCCCAGGGCCCGGCACAGAATCCGGGGCACAGAATTCCCGGCGGCCCCCGCCCTCCCCTCCCTCACGCCGCTCGCCTCCGGGGCGGCCGGCCCGGCCCGCGCAGGACGGGGCTCACCCGCCGGCTCAGCTCCTCCATCTGGCGCAGCGCCGCGCTCTCCCCGTCCTCCTGCCGCGGCGGGCGGCCCGACATCCCCCCAGAGGAGCAGCGGGCGCTCACACCCGGTGACACACCTACAGCGGCGACAGCCCCACGCGCTCCTAAGCCCCGCGGCCGCGGCCGGTCGCGACAGAGCGCGTGCGCCGCGCAGAGCACCAATCAGCGGGCGCGCCCGAGCACGCGCCCCGGCGCGCGCCGCTGGCGGGATCCCTGAGGGGCCTCGCGCCCCCTTCCCCCCGCAACGAGGTGTCCCCTCGGTCGGGACAGAAACCCACGGGAATCGCGTCACATCGGGACAGGGCCGAATGTGGGAAAGATGTCTGGAATGAGGCTCGGAAACTGCGCCCCTTGTGGAGCGTGAGGGAACACCCGGAAAAGGAAAGGAACGCCCCGGTGTGGTATGACCACCGAGAGAGCTGCTCTCGGCTCTCAAACACCTTTAGGCGGTTTGCTTAAAGGTATTCCAGGGGAGATATGAACGATATATTATTTACAGATATTAGCTTCATATGTTTTATTATGTTCATCATTAGTATATGTTTCTACAAGGAAGACTGAGAAGGGCTTTTTACATGGGTGTGTAGTGACAGGACAAGGGGAATGGCTTCAAACCGACAGAGGGCAGGTTTTGAGTGGATATTACGAGGAAATTCTTCCCTGTGAGGGTGCTGAGGCCCTGGCACAGGTTGCCCAGAGAAGCTGTGAATGCCCCATCCCTGGAAGTGTTCAAGGCCAGGTTGGACGGGGCTTGGAGCAACCTGGCATAGGGGGAGGTGTCCCTGCCCATGGCAGGGGGATTGGAACGAGATGATCTTTAAAGTCCCTTCCAACCCAAATCAGACGCATGATTTGATTATTGTATAAGATGGATGTTTCAGGCCATCCACCTGGGATGGTCTTAACCTTTCTCTGTCTCTTCCACTCTACTGTAGATATACCACAGTGATGCCTCTCTCTTCTTGTCTTTGTAAACACATCATGGGACAAGTTTAAGTGATAGGGTGACAATAGCAGGGCAATGAGTTATCATGATTCATTATCCTAAATAAACTTAGGTTGAGAAATGGTATCAGGAGCCAATTACTGTGACCAGAAGGTTTTGAAAATATCTACCCATAGCACCAATGAGGAGTAAAAAAAATAAGAAACTGACTTACTTATGAAAAGAATTACATGTTCTAATCACTAAGTTAATTGGTGAATGAATGCATATCTCAGGAAATTAGAAGTCTGCTAATTTTCACACAGATTGTAGAGTTGTTAAAATCAGGGGATATCACTGGGGAGTTTTGGGTAAGACTTTATCAAGGTGGCTAATGCAGGAACATTACAGTTGGGGGTTTTGTCTCATTTTTATCCCTTTTTTTTAAACGTTGTATAATTATTCTAAACACTCAAGAATAATTCCAAAATTACAGACTACTACCGACAGCTCAGTTATAGGATTTTATGAGATATCTATCCCAAGTCCTGTGCTAAGACTGCAGTGCAAATATAGTTCAAATCTTGATCAATTATTTGAAAATATTTGCTACTTTCATAAGTGATGTAGGAGTGTTGGCTTTTGCTGCTTTGTGGCTCACATAAGCATATGTATTATATATTTGATAATTCTTAGAACGTATGGCAAGACTATACCTTATTTTGGTGGTATCCATGAGCTCGGTTGGAATGCCTGTGATGTTGATTGGAATTTTTGACAGCAAAGAATAAAGATTTTGGCTCCTAGTAGAAGCATGAAAAAAGACAATTTGCCTATAAGAATATTTGACAACATGGTAACTTGCAAATGCTACACTTATTTGTTTATTTGCCTGTAACAGAAAGAGAAACTGAGGCTACATCTTCAGAAAAGGTCAGTCTTGCTCTTCCCTCCACCTGCAACCGCACACTTGTGCCTCCAGCCTTGCATCACCATGGCTGTGTATGAGACTGTGTGGTGGGACAGGTCAGGGAGCTGATCCTTTTTTTCTCTGCAGTGCACCAGTGCTTGTGTGATTCTGGCACTCCCAAAAAGCAGAAGAACTGAAGCTGCTGGGAAATTGTTGTCCCGGGGCTGGAGTGGTTCTGAGGCTTGTCCTTCAAATTCTGGAAGAAATAACACATATCTGGGTCACACAAAACAGTTCTGGTGATATTGCTCAATGTGCTTTGTGGTTTGTCACTCTTATTCTGTTGAGTAACTTGTTTAATCTGAGTAACTCCCAACCCTCTGCTGCCCGAGTGTTTTATTTGTTGTTGATATGTTACAAAGGTTGATGATCAAGTAACCCAGTAGTCAAAGTATAATTTCTGTAATGATTATCTTTTTTATGTTCCGTAATAAATGCAGTTAATGTTTATTAATCAAAAATCCACCACTCAGTTTTATTGGTTTGTTCAGAAGAGTGGTGATTGTGTTCTTGCGGCATAATAGCAAATGTGGAATGTTTTCAACTTCTGGTTTTACCACAGATTGGTGATTCTTCTACTGATATGGAATGGGCTTTTGATAAGTCTTTTTTAAAGTGAATGGATTCCTGCAGCAAGATCACTCCTGAAATTACAGTCATACTGGATCCATGCCTGGTTAATCTGCTTGTGTCTGTGCTCTTGTGCCAGCTCTGGTGTTCTGAACTATTTTTATTAGCATAAAACTACTTGTTTTGAAATTAATGATGCCTGACGCAATGTTAATAAAGGACCAAGGAATATTTCAGTCTTTTAAAGGCCTCACCTTTTCAGCACCTGGCATCTTTAAAAATATACAAAATAGCACAAATTACCCAACAAGCAGTGGAAGCAGTTACAAATCAGTCACCGATGCCAGAAAGTATTTGAAGGTGCTGTCCCCTGTTAGCAAACACATGGCCAAAACAGTGTCCCCAAATAACCAAGCTCAAGCTCTGAAAGGCTGCTGTTACAAGCACGCTGAAAATGTGAGGCCATCCTTCTGAAAACCCCACGAGCCTTGAAGACCTGTTTCCAGGCTGTGGTCTGTACATTTGTGTCAGATGAGTTCACAGACGTGAGAGGTCCAGGGTAGGCCTGATGTTGCCTTTGAGGCTCAGCAGTGCCAGGTTCCCAGTCTTTGCTGCGGGCCAGAAATCCATGCGTACTCAGTCCTGTACCCCAGCTCGTGCTTGGTAACATGTTAAACCACAGTAACCTGGTTGTGTGTTCAAATTTGAGTCGTTCACTGGGCTTGCCTGTAAGTGACTGTAACCCGAGGAAACCTGCCGAGCTTTACAAGAACCACTCACAGAGCTCCCTGGAACGCAGCAGTACCAGGACAATTGTAGATCTAAGGTTGGCCACAAGAGAGCAAGCCAGAACTGTGCTGGCTGCTCAGAGACAGTCCGAGAACAATGGAGCCAAGGATGTAACACAGGTGGATGAGGTCGCTGGAAGAGGAAAGCACAGTCAAAGGCTATTTGAATTTGTGTAGGTTTTTGCCTGTTTTGAAACATTTTCAGTTCTGATCCTGGGTTGTTTTGTATCCAGACATTGTTACATGAGAATCCCTGTGAGCAGGTTCTGAGATGTAACATCAATCTCTGTTAATTTCTCAGCTGAACCTATATTTTTATAATTTCCTAACTCATACTGGTCTAAGAAAACTTGAATTGTTGAAATTAGTTGGGTTTACTTTATGGTAATCTTTCTGCTAATTTGTCTGAGACATTAGGATTTGGGGGGAGATAGGTTAATTTACACAGCCAGGGATTTGGATCTATTTGCTGGAATCTGGGTAAAGTTGTGGTTTGTTTCCTTAGGTTAAGTATCTAGATTTTCAATTGCTCAAGAAACCTTGCAAACCCTATAATCATTCTACTTTAAAAGTCCTGTCACTGCAAGTAAAACAAGAAGTCTGAGCACTTTTAGGAGCTTGAAGTACAATAATTTTTTTTGACATTTAGTTCTGATACACTGTTGAAGCAATCTGAGAACTCCTTTGTACAAGACTTCTGCACAGGTCACAAGCATAAAATTCTTAATTTTCTGATTTAAAGCAGAATTTCATCACTTTCACATGGATGATCTTAAGGCTGTTGTCAAAATAGCTGAGAACTATCATCAGTCTCTCATTAGTTTTTACAATCTGATTGCATTCCTTAAAGCTTCTAAAAGTGCTGAACCAAAAAACTTGTCTGTAAAATACTCCCATCAGTCTTTCATCTGATGAGGAGAGGATTTAAAAATAGACTTTTCCAAGTCCACTCTGTGTTCTTCAATGTAAATCTGAAGGTGAATACAAGAGCCTTTCTCCAGGTCTTATGTTGCTGTAGTTGAGAAGAGTTTGACCTTTAATTTTCATAATTTTTTCTCCCTTAGGGCAGAACAACCTGTGCACTTTGTTAGAATGTAAAAGAGCATTAAGTTCACGCCATTGGTAGTTTCACTTAGAAAGGTAGAACTAAAAGTTTGGTTTTGTCTCATTTACAAACTCCCTTTTTCTATAGAGACTTCATAACCTGGCAGGGCAGTCCCTCACAGGCTTTTGAGCCCACACACACATTTACTGTAGTAACAGTCTAGTTTGAATATGGGATCTGATTTCCAGATACACATTTTGAGCAGTGAATGTTCAGGGGTCTTAAAAAATCAAGTACTCTGTCTTACAACAACGAATGCTTTGTTTGCAGTGTGAAGATGGAAGCCTGGTGCCTGGATACTGGAAGCTCTTCTGTTGATGCCACCAAAGAGCAGGGGTATGAGAGGCTTAGAACTGCTTAGAGATACTGGATAGATTGATGCCTCCTTTACATTACTCTGGATTGGTCATCTTTATACAAATCAGATCAGTGCTAGGAAGAAGAGGAAAAGAGAACGGCACCAAAAACACTCTGAGTGAAGATCAGCCTGCCCAGTAAGTTGTCTGTTTGGAAGCTGAGCTAGGAAGCCTGGAGAAGACTAGAGATAATTATGTGCTTGCTTCTCTTTCCTGTTGGGAGTACCTCCCTGACAATAAGCACTGTGTTTATACTGTGTGCAACTGATATTTTCTTGAAGATAAAGCACAGAGATTAGATTGCTTTGAAGGAGGAGGCAGGCCTGAGCAGGATGGGCTGAAGGTACAGAAGTAGCAGCCTGTTGTGTTATTAAAGTATGGGTCTCCTG